GGGGAGGGCAAGTTATAAATTTAAATAAATAAATAAATAAATCTCATAGGCTTTCATAAGCATCCTCAAAGATGTTCTTGCAGCTTCGTCATGACTACACCGCCACCCTCGCTCTAACCATCTTAGCTCCCATTTCATGCTCCGGAGTATACCACGGAGATTGTTTGGTATGGGGGCGAAGAGGGCCCCGGAGGGGTGATTTTGTCAATAGCTTCTGGGAGATGGCCATGCCAGTCTTCCACCAACAAATCACCAGGGGGCATCGGATCCCGCAGAGCACTCTGGAAACCAATTGGATCCATAAATCTTAGCGGGTGAACATAAATTAGCTCACCGCCTAAACAGGGGAGGGGTTGGAGTACTCAACCAGGCCTTCAGGGCTAAATGGTCTGACCATGGCACTGCCTCGCTGTTTGGTGTCGTGGTTAAGGGCGCGGACTCTCATCTGGGAGAACGGGGTTTGATTCCCCACTCCTTCTCCACTTGCACCCGCTGGATGGCCTTGGGCAAGCCGTAGTTCCGATAAGAGCTGTTCTTGAAAAAGAGCCGTTTTGTCAAGAGCTCTCTCAGCCTCACCTATCTCACAGGGTGTCTGTTGTGGGGAGGGGAAGGGGAAGGAGATTGTAAGCCGCTCTGAGACTCCTTTGGGTAGTAAAGGGCGGGGTAGAAATCCAATCTCCTCTTCCTCTTCCTCCTCCTCCTCCACATCTATCCCTGCCCCCAAAATAAGATCCAGCATGTGGCCTGCCTGATGCGTAGGAGCTGATACAGATTGGGAGAGTCCCAATGCTGCCATGGATGACACCCAGTCCATGGCCTGTGAGGAGACTGCATTGTTGGCATGGATGCTGAAGTCCGCCAGGACTGGAAGCTGAGGGTACTCCAGCGCCTAGCCCAATAGAGCCTCCAGCAGGCCCTGCAAGCTATCTGCCAGTGCGTCAGAAGGTTGGTACGCCAGCCAGATGGCCAAACTCCCCAGCGTTCCTTGCCCGGCCCACACATTTAATGCTGGCAATTTTTGGAGCAGGGAGAGTCCTGAAGGAGAAATACTCCTGGATGAGCAACGACGGTGTGTGTGTGAGCTGATTAACAAACTCACACACCCAGGTCTCAGTCATGCATGCCAGGTCTACATTTTGAGCTGCAAAATAACCCTGCATGGTCGAGGTCTTATTATTAATAGACCTGGCAATACACCACATTGGTGTCAGAGGAAGGTAATCTTTCCTAGCCACGCTACCAGAATGAGACCTGGCAATACACCACATCGGTGTCAGAGGAAGGTAATCTTTCCTAGCCACGCTACCAGAATCTCTTGGGATGGGGCGAAGGTTGGAAGGCGACTGAGCATAACCATGTCATTGTCTCCTTTATTATTATTTTTTTTTGGTCTCCTTTATAATACCTCGCCCCACTGTCATACCTCCCACGCCCCTCATCCACTG